GCCAGCCAAACCAGACCAGCAAGTTTTTCAGGAATAACTGTCATGTACCAGCATGGTGCTCAGCAAAAGAGCTAGAAAACACTGGGCAGGTTGGGCATATACAAGAGAAAAAGTGATCAAACCAAGTAGTAGCCAGTGTAAATTGGAAAATATGAATGGGTTTTGGAGGTGGGCAAACCCAAGTTCAAGGGGCTGCCCAGTCACTCCGGTTATGGGAAGGATGGCAGTCGGCTTCATCTTAATGTGTCCCAGTTCCCTCAGTTCTGGAAGGCGGTACCACTATTGACAGGGCCTATGTGAAGATTGGTGAGTTAACATGTTCTTGTCCCTACCATAAAAACAGTTAAAAAGTGTAAGATGTGTGTGCTCTGGGAATTTAACCAGCAAGAGAGGTAAGACTCTACCCCTTCAGTTGCTAATTGATTTTACCATCTTCTTGTTGCAGTAAGTTGCATATAGTACACCTGTCCCTGCCTCCAGTCACTTTCCCCAAAAAAGGGAGAGTAGTGGAGTTTTGTAGGCTAAAGTGGTGAGGAGAGTGTCATGGGAGATTCAGACTTAGGTCTTACCCTTGAAGAATGAGTGGTTCTAGATCAGAAAGAAAAGGAAGGGACACCCCCAGGTGGTAGGCACCACCTGAAGGGAACCCTGAGAAGTGGTAATGAGCCTGACTGAGGAGATAATAAGTGGGACTCTCACCACAGAGCCTCTGTACATGCTGTTCTTCCTGCCAGGAATGTTCTTCTCAACTCCCTGGCCTCCTACCCAGCCCTTCCCTTGTTACCTTCCTGCTCCTCTTTCAGACACAGCCTTCATTATTCCCTCAAGAAACTTTCTTGATTTCAGATTCCTGTTAGCTGTGTCCTTTGTAAGTGCTTCACAGTTTTATGTTTACATTCATTTAGGAGTTTGATTAGTATCAGTCCCGCTCTTTAATTCCCATAAAAACAGGGGTTATGTCTGTTTTGCACTCACTGTGTATCCCTTCACTCCCTGACCTACTATAGTGTGTGGGATATAGAAAGGGCTTAATAAATACTCATTGAATAAATGGAAATGTTTTGGTTATCAGTGAGGTTATAACATGGATGGGAAAGAGGGTTTATATTTAAGATTGCTAATCTCATTCAGATGCCAAGCACTGTGTTAATTAGTTAACCCTTAAAACAGTCCTGTGAAATAAGTGCGTTATTACTTTTGTTTTAAAGATGAAGAAACTGACGTCCAGGGCATCTTTCCCTGCTGGCCCAGCTAGTAAGTGGCAAAAGAGGGGTTAGAGCTCAGCAGCCTGGCCCCAGAGCTTTTAGATTGAACCATATTGCTCTGCTGCTTTAGCAGCAGGAGACAAAGTTCGGCACACAAGTAAAGTCAGGGTAAATTTCTGTTTGAAAACTGTGGATTTTTCTTCCTCCTCTTTTTCAGTTATCATCATCATCACTTTGTGTGAAAAACTAAGCAGAAAAGCACAACTTCTTGTGTCAGGTCCTAATCATGTTGGTTCTACATTCTGCCAAAGTGATTTGGTCAAATTTACTCGGCAAGTAAACTGGATATTTCAAATTCTTATTCCCAGGAAATTCTAGACTACTTCTCTTAATCACCTTTAAAGAACCAGTTTGTAATTTGCTGAGGATGACAGAGTTGTTTTAAATAAAAGGCAGTGATTTGACTAAGTTTGGTATTATCTGAGACACTTGGTTTTTATTTCTTACTCAAAAAGTAGATCTAGCCTGTGGTCATCAGTAGGTACTGAATCATAAAGCTCCTGGAAAAGAGGCTTAAAATTTCATCAGGGAAGCAAAGAAATTCTAAGACCACCAAAAAATGATAACTGTTACTAAAATAATGTAATTGTTACTAATTAATAAGTTAATTTACTAATTAAAAATTAATAAGCCCCAATAAAATATGGCATTCTGGGGGAAAAAAAGACTTACTCTGAGGAACAAAAGTGACTTGAAATGGTCATTATTCCCACTACCTGCCTTTAGACAGGATTTTTTTTTAAATCGTAAGACAGTTATATTAAAATACCTCTAGGTAGAAAAGTACTTTACAATAAAAAGTAAGATAATAGTTAACATTTGTGTACTGCTGTTATTTACTGGGCAGTGTTCTAAAGATTTTACATGCATTTATGTATTTAATCTTTATAGCAAACCTGTGAGCTCATATTATTGTCCCCATTTTATAGCTGGGGAACTAAACATTGCCCATGGTCACACAGCTAGTAAATGGTGGAACTGTCTTAAACTCTCACTAGTTTACCCTTCAAGCTCTCACAGTATCACTTGGTAGCTGATTACTCAAGTTGTCACCTTGATTTCCTTGGCTCTAATTGAAAGCTTAATTTGGTTTAAGTCATTAGCGTTTATAAGTGTTTACTAAGAGCCTGCTATGTCCAGACTCTTTCAAAAAGAACCCACCTTTTCTGGAAGACACTGCTTTGTATAAACATAATTTTCAAGGGAACCCACTATTCAAAGAAGAGGGGCACTGAATAAAAATAATCAAATTCTCCATAGAGCAAATGAATTTCTGAATCAGTTGCAAATAGCTCGCAGTCATAGTGGCATTTTATAAAATATGCCCTCCCCTAAGTTAGAATTCCATTGTCTTCATTTGCCATATAACCTCAAAATTATATCTGTTTTTCTTCTTTCACACTGCAGCTTTCTTCTTTCAGTCAGTATTTTGGAAAATCCACAAAACCCAGGGGCCTCCGTGTCATTGCCCTGTGGTTGATGTAAAAATCAGATGATGCCATGCTGACTTGAACTCTTTCAAATGGATCAAGCAGCACATTAGTCACTGGCAAATTTTTCAGTCCTTTACTTCAGAGGCTACCCAGTTCCTCATTCTTGCCACCCTTTGATCATGAAGTAATAGCAAGAAAAAGATGTGCTTTTTGAGGACACCCTACCTCTTGCCTTCAGTGTTAGTGACTGATTCCTTCATAATGGTGACCCTGAAGGGTCCAGCCATCCAAAGGGACTAGGCTTTAACCACTGCATTCCTTCTGGTGTCCTGCTCAAATGGAAAGCCTCCCTGATTTCACCCAAGTGAAGCATCACATCATGCCTTACACTGTTGCATTCCTATGTCTAGAGCACTTAAAATTACATGGTCTATTTAGTGTTCTTTCACTGTTCATTTACTGCTGAAAAACTCTCTGTGGAATATATCATCCTAACGAAGACTGATATCAGGTGTCATCACCAAGGCCTAGAACTGGCATCAGCAATCCTGAGAGTCTGTAGGACACCGGCCAACATTGGAGCAAACCCAGAACTTTCCTTTCCCTGTCCTGCCCTGAAGGACAAAGGCTTTCTGCTTGTTGTAAAAGGGAAAGCACTAAATTGATAATTAGTTTTATGCCTGAAGGGCTTTTTTAAGTGCTATATACCTCTTTTAAAAATTATGTATTGGTTACCTGAGGTGGTCAAAACCTCATTTAATCCTACATGTTCCTTGTAATTAGCATGATCTGCAAGCCCTGGAGGCTAGTCCCACATGCAGTAATCCCAGCTCTGATCAACCTCTCCTCAACTCGTACATTTAAAGATTGGATCAGGAAAAAAATCCGTACCTAAAAAGCCCTACCAGAACACTGCTGCAGTGGCCTGTGCACCAGTGTGACATTTATAGTGGAAGTAGACTGGTGGAAAGAGGTTCTGTTCCCAAGAAATTTTATTGGCAATTTTATTGGCAAGTGTAGGTTCTTCCTCGAGTTTGTCACAAAGACTTACGTGAAGGGTCCACTGCTCAATGGGATTCCTGTCCCCTTTCTTTTTCTTCTCAGCTAAGTGCTCCGTGTGCAGATTGAAATATTTCTAATAATTGTATAGGTGGGAAATCCTCGATTTAAGTCATGCACTTCCTAAAAAAGAGACAATATGAATTAAGGTAATAGGGGGATCAACTCTTCCCAGAATTGGCCTGAACGTTTCCCAGGAAACCCTCTCAGTTCCAGGCAGACCAGGATGGCTGGTCACCCTTTAAGAAGATACAGTGCATTTCCAACATTCTGGCTGAATTTATCACAGGATTCAGGAAGGTAAAAATAAGGCTATTGGTCTTCTCTATTGATGTGATTTTAGTGTTGGAGCTTCTCAAGGAATCTGTAGTCCACTATAAGGGCCTGGAGGACAAACTAGAGGAGACAGGGTGTTCAAGCTCTCCGCTTAAGGTGTCATCATCTCCATGCTATTTCTTATTTATTACTATTGTCATCACTTTAAAGGTATAACAATAGAAAAGATGAATTACCTTAATATAAAATCTGATTTTATAAAACAAGAGCTGAACACATGTTGGGTCCAAGGATTTGCACTTAGGGAAAACACTTACTTGAATTGAAGAAACTTTCTACAACCTGAAAATGGGTAACTCAGTTATCAGAGCTCATAGCAGAAAGTGCTGCCAAAAGTTGAATTATCCTCAGATTGCTGTAGGCCAAATCCACAGGCTTTTTGGTTGTCCATGGCCAGCCTTCAACTTGTCCATGGCAAGGCTCTCTCTCCTGCCTAATCTCATGGCAGAGATTTAGGGTAAACTGTTTCCTCTTGCCTCTCTCCTTTCTTTGATTTTCATCAATCCATCAGCCCCAGGTATCTTCTCACAGATCTTTTGCCCAGCTTTTTTCACTGAACATTGTGATAAGGATGCAGATAAAAAAGTTTGCTTGGTTAGTAGGAAGATGTTTCACATCTACACAGAAATCTCCAAGATGTGCTGTTCCAACTTTAATAATACATACTGGTTTAGAAATGGTCTGCTTTCTGAATCATATCCTCCACATAGAAAACAACCACCAGTAGCATTTTATTTCCATCCCATCAGTTATTTATCACATATTTTTAAAAACAGCTGTTGTCATACATGTATAGGTGTGCCTAATTTTGTAATTTACTGTTTATCCTTACTGGCTTGTTATATGCATTGTTCCCTGGTGCAGTATAGTCAGATGTACTAACTTCTGACATGTGCTTCTTATATAGATCTGCAACTATGTGGGACCTGCAAAGGTTATTGTTCAGTTGGTCACAAATGGCAAAAACATCCACCTTCATGCGCACAGCCTGGTGGGGAAGCACTGTGAGGATGGCATCTGCACTGTGACCGCTGGCCCCAAGGACATGGTGGTCGGGTAAGTGAGAGCCGGGGTGTGGTGCAAGGGGGAAGCACTAGAACAGGGCACCCAGGCACTTTGATTGAACTTGCCTGCTTCATCAGGGCCTCAGAGGGCCTGAAAGTGAAAATATGAGCTCTCACTTGGATGCCAAGGAACAGGATGCCCACATGTCTGAATTTCCCTTAGACAGCCCACTCTGAACCTGTGGTCTTGGTCTAATTATTTATAGCACCCCATTTCTTTCTCAGAAGGTACTCAGTTTGGATGATAAATCATGTGGTCACCTGGCCTATGAGGCATTTGTGCCCATTCTAGCAATATTTTCCTTCATAAAATAAAAGATGAGGACAAATTAGAAGAACTGTAACTATTGCAGATATGAATACTTATGCATAGTTTTATACTCTTGATTATTCCTTTAATGAGCTATTGACTGGATTTATGATGTGAACAATTTGAGCATGAAATAGATAGATATTGTTTCAGTTCTGTGCTGCTTAAAAAGTATGCACAGATAAGAAGCCAAGGATGCAAATTTGTGTTGACATTCATTAGACTTAAATGTAAATACAAAGTGGTGTGTTGATTTAAGGGTTAGCCAGACAGAGAAAACAAGCAATCAGAAATGTATTAAATGTTATAAAAATAAATTCAGTCCAAAAAAAGTAAGACATTTTAAATTGATTTTCTTTAATTTTTTTTTTGGAGGCTTCCTTCTTATGGTTTATTGATGCTGTTTTTTTTTTTTT